GTAGTCGCTGTCTTCTGCAGGGCCAGCACAAGAGGGACATGGCTGACCTGCCCTTCCAGCCCACACTTCCATTCCTGCCTGCTTTCCCAAGCAGAGGCCCCCGACCCAGCCAGTGGATACCACGTCTCCCGGGTGCCTGTCTCCACATGGGCCAGCAGGCCTTCAGCGAGTACTGCTGATGCCTGGGAACCACGGTGACTTACCCTCCAGGTCATCGATGGCACCAGCATCCACAATGTCATCTTCCTCCTCCTCCTCTGGCCCTTCTTCTTCCTGGGTCTTGGCTGAGGAGTCCCTCTTGCGCTGTCGCTCCTTCTTACTGGCTCCTGCTGCTGCTGCAGGGGAGGGTAAGACAAGCTCGTGGGGTCTGGCTCCAGGCCCCAGCCTATCCCACCTGCAGGGGCTGCCATCTCGCACCGGTGCGGAAGTGCCGCTCCCGCATGTGCCGCAGCAGGGTGGCCTTGGTGCCGCTCCGGTACTGGCACATCTTGCACTTGAACTGCTGTACCACCACCACCTCCATCATGGCTTCCAGGCTCTGCAGGTCCAGCTCCTCGGTGCCAGAGGCTGGAGGTGCCTGTGCCAGGGAGCTGGGCCCACCCTGCACCTCCTCGGGCGGCTCTAGGCACATGGATGTAGACGTGGGGCCATCAGCCAGAGCCTCGATGGTTGCCAGGCTCTGGCCCAGGGTGGAACTGGACATTGGCGATGTCACGGGGGCACCTGGGGACAGGAGAGAGGACTGCGGAAGTTAAGCAGAAGGTGGGATCTCAGAACCAACCAAATTTCCCACAAGAGCCCCCCTGCCAAGCAAGGAAACCTGAGGCCCAGAGCAGCAGATCACCTATCAGACTGCATGGGGAGCTTGGGGGCAGAACCTGTCCTCTCCACTCCTGCCTACTTCAGGGCTTCCTGTGTCCAGCCCTGGGGTTCTTACCATCATCTGGGCCCTGCAGGATTAGGTACCGTGTGGTCTCTGCTCCACCATCTTCAGCACTGGTCACCGTGATACAACCTGGGTGCAGGTGGGTGGAGGGTCATGCCCTGACAGGAGGCTTCCACTGCAGACCCACATTCATGGGCCCCAAGGGGCAAGTGGCAACCAGCTTCATCAACCCTGAGCCCCACAGCCCAGTCTCCAGGATGCCACAGCTTTCCCGGCTGCCTGACCTTTCACTGCTAGGCCTGGGAAGTCCTCCTCCCTCTCTCACTTTCTCAGGGTCATTACACTGCCCCTGCTCCGCTTTCTTAAGGATAGCTTCCAAGATGGCTCTAATGCTCTGGGAGGTGCTGGGGTCTCTGCATACCTCACTATTGACAGATAGGCTTTAGGTGCTCCTATGTGTATGAGTCTAGAAGCATCCTCAGCACAAGGTAAGAGGCAGCTGTTTCCATTACTGACCACAGGTGCAGTGCTGAGAACTTTACTGTGGGGCTGAGGAGATGGCTCAGTAGAATAAATGCTTGCCTGGCAAGCGCAAGGGCCTGAGTTCAATCCCCAGTTCCACAAAAAAAAAAAAAAAAAAAGAACTTTACCGCAAGGACTGGCCAGATAGCTCAGCAAACTAAAGCATCTGCTTAGGCAGATGCAGGGACCCTGGCATGCTACGCTGGCCCCACCCCCTGAGCATGCTGAGACAGCATTCGAGACTGGGCGTGGTGGCACACACCTGTAATCCCAGTGCTTAGGAGGCTGAAAACAGGAGGATCACTGTAAGTCTGATCTGTGTAGTCAGAGTCTGTAGACCTAGCACTAAATATATAAAAAATAAGAAGAGAGCTTCACGGCACTCTATCACTGAGCCCTGTTGTTTACCTTTGCAACGGGTTCTAGTCTCGGCTCAAACACATGTGCATGAGAAGGCTCTGAGCCTGCACTCACACAGCTGGCTGCCGACTCTATGGGGAACCCCTGGGGGTGACCCTGCATCCCTCTCCCAACTCACTCTGGATGAGGTCAGGCCCGATAGTGGACTCGATGATCTTGTCGATGGCGGAGCCCAGGTCCGAGGAGGAGGCTGCGCAGTCAGGTACCAGCATGTTGGGGTCCGGGAGCGCACTGGAGTGCACGAGTGCCGGGGGGCCTCCGGGGAGCCCTGCCAGCGGCCCACCAGACACGGAAGAGGAATCCGGCAGGTAGCCATGAGGCAGAGCGTCTGTGCTCGAGCTGCTTTCTGATACCTCCTCCTGAGAGGCAAGAAATGGGGGAGATGGCTCAGGAGTGGAGTGGGGTGCATGGGGCTCTCCAGCAGCAGCACTCAGGAGCGGAGCCCCCCACGCTCTCGGTGCATTTAGGGCCTGTGGGAAAAACAGTCAAGAGTCCACCAAGAAAACCCCTCCAGGGTGCTTGGCTCTGGTCAGGGGCTGTGCTGGAGTAAGGGAAGAGAACTCTAAATATTCTGCACCGTAGCCAAAGGAAACTATCGTTATTGGGTTTTGGTAAAATTCATTCTTTTTATCTCCAACTCATCCTCAGCCTTCTCACCGCCTTTTTTTTTTTTTTTTGGTTTGTTTAAAGTTTTATTTTACTTTTGCATTTTTAAATTTTTTTGTGGTACTGGGGATCAAACCTGGAACCCTGTGCTTGCCAGGCAGGTGCTTATGCTGCTGAGCTATGTCCCCAGCCCTTTTTGGTCTCTATGGAGCTCAGACTGGCCTTGAGCTCACTTTGTAGCCCAGGCTGAACTTGAAACATTTTGAACGGGAAAGGATCCTCCTGCCTCAGTCTCCTGAGTGCTGGGATTACAGGAAGGCACCACCACGCCTGGCTACTTGGCATCTCATCTCTTTTTGCCTGTACCTCTTCTAGGAAGCCCACCCTGACCCCAAGGCCAAATAAGGACTTCACAGGCAGGACAGTGAGGTGGTCTGTAACTCCTGAGACTGTCTGCCCCCTACCCCTGAAGCCCATAGGATGCATCCTGTGTCATAGTGTCCCCAATGCACACAGTACTTTCCCCAACAGCCTGGAACACACCTGTCTTGTCCCTGCTGTATCTCCAGTCCCAGAGCAGGACACACAGTAGGCACCACTGATGACCTCAGAAAACCTCTGGGCCCCAACTTGAGGGCAGTAGGGCACTCCTACCAAGGGATATTCTAAAAATGGACATTACCTTGCAGATAACAAAATACTTGAATGCTTACTGTGTGCTGGCTAGTTTGATTTACTTTGCAGATGCTACACCATCCAACCCCAAGAATTCTACAAGGCAAGTGCATCCCTGAGTCCTCTTTTCAGATGAGTAGCTTGGTTAAGATTGCAGACCTCCAAAGTGGCAGGGTCAGGAATGCGCAAGGATGTCAGGTGGGAGCCCCCGGGGAAGCAGACTCGCCTGCCCCAGCTCACAGACTGGAAGACTACGCTCAAAGTGCACTCCTCATAAATTCGAGGCGGGGCGAAGGCCTGAATCTGGACATTACCTCTCAAATCGTGAGGACACAGGCCAGGGTAGCGGGTGAGACCAAGTCTAGATAGAATGCTGTCGGTCGCCCCACCTTGGTTTCCTTTCCCCTATAAGATGTGGGGGAAAGTGGTAGGTGCCTTACAAGGTACGCAGCTTGACTGAGAAAATCCCTGTAGGGGTTTGGCATGGTGCCTGGCTCAGAAACAACATTAGCTAGCAGCAAGCCTTGCTGGCTGCTTCCCCTCGGCTGCAGGACACCGTGCCCGGGTCCCAGCCCCCTCTCCCTCGACGCCGTCCAGCCCAGTCCATACCAGAGAGTGGCTGCCGCGGCCTGAGCTTTGCACAACTCCAGAGACATCGGCCTCCACCAGCCCCGGGGTGGTCGCGGCGTCGCTGCTGTCGGCTAACACAGCTTCCGAGGTGCCCACACCCAGGCCGCTCTCAGAGGGCTCCTCAGGCCGTGGGGCTGCGTCACTACTGCTCTCTACCTCGTTTTCCTCCATCGGCTTGGAGGAACGCCTGGTAGGAAGGTGCAGGGTCTGGGGCTTTCACTCTGCGAGAAGAGGTGATCAGAGATGGAACATGTGGGCCACTTCCCTGGCAACCCAAACTCATGCAGCTGAACCCTTGAGCCCATTTTGCAGATGCAAAGACTGAGTCTTCGACAGTGAGGGGCTCCCTCGTGTATTGAAAGAGAAGCTCCCAGAAGAGGACGGAAGCCTCGCTTCCCAGACTAGGGCCTTCCCCGGGAGGGTGGTCGCTGGCGGGCAATCTTGGCCCTTTCCCCGTCTGCACTTAGTTCAACTGTGGACCCCCTCTGGGTAAAGTGGTTCAGCCCCTCGGAATCCGAGTCCCCCCGGGCAAAGGGACGGTGGTACAGCCCACAGGCCCCCTGGGTCACCGGTTCGCTCCCCCCTCCCCTGCTTCCCCGCGGAGGGGGCTGACTGAGACGGTCTCGGGGCCTGGTAACTCGGGGCTGTCCCAGGCGCTGCCTGCGCTCCAGGCCCGACGCCATCTTGTGGTGGCGCCGGGTTTCCGCTCAGGCAAGTGCGAGAGCGACTAAAGGGCCTGGGACCCCAGGGCCCTTTTCGGACAGCCCCGCCGGCCCCTCCCTGTCACTGCCGGGGATCCCCGCACTGTGGCTCTACCCCATGGCGCAGAGCGGTGGGGCAGCCCGAGGCTACCCGACCTTTACCTGAGGCTTTCTTGGTCGCGTTTCTCTCCGACTCCGGCATCGACGAGGTCGCCATCCTCTTTTCCCCGCGGCGGAGGAACCTATCGGTCTACCGTAGGCCGGGACTACTTCCACCGCCACGCCAGGAAAAGACAGAATTCCAACGTTCCGGAAGGGCTCTCCGAGACCTCAGAACCATAGTCCTGTCCAGAGAGAACCTAAAATTCTATATTTTGCCTAGAATAGACGAGGGGACTCGCTGGAGTTGGGGACTACTTTCTCTCTTGGCGGATGGCTACATAGGAATTGCTTATGACATCACTACAGGTCCCTTCTGGGCCGCAGGGTGGGGCTCGGCGAAGGCCTGCTCGCTCCCCGGGGGCGTGGCTTCGGGCATTCGGGGCGTGGCTTGGGCGTTGTGGTCACGCCCCCCGAGGCGGCCGCGGAAAGCCTCGGGTTGGGGTGGATTTAATCTTGGCAGAGGAAGAGGGGTAAATGTAATGTTTCACCTGGCTTCCTACGGATTCTTGGACGCTCTCTTTGAGCCTGAGCGAATCCTCCTCGCTTAGGTTTCATGTTTGCTAGCGGAGTGGGCCAGATGAGAAAACGGGCTCCAGGACAGGAAAGGCTGGTTCAAAGCCATGCGGGAGGCAAGGTCGGATGGTCGGAGTCAGGGACTTGGCGCAGGGCTACTGCGAGCTCTTGGTGAGCTTACGTATATTCGTTACATTAATAGGCTGCGGGTCAAGATTTCCCTGTGTGCCGTCCATTCACTGTAGACAGTGGGGTATTTAAAAAAGTCTTCAGACTTTCAGAAAATAAGTGCTCCCTCCCATGACCGAACGAAACGTCATCTGTTGAAGCTTGCTTGCTTTATTTATTGAGACAGGGTCTCACAATGCAGTTTGGGCCGGCCTTGTGCTCAAGGTTATAGCTGGTCTCGAACTCCTCGCAGCGATCCTACTGTCAACTTCTGAGTGCTGGGATTACAGGCACGCGCCACAACGCCCGATTATGGGACCGGGTTATGCGCACCGCATGTTGGACCAGGGATCGAACTTTGGTCCCTGTGCGTGGCAGCCGGGTCCCAATACCTCTGAGCTATCTCGTCAGCCATTTATTTATTTACTTACTTATTTAAAATCGTTTTGTGCCAGAAAACACTAGAGAGAATAATGTGCGCTGGTTTTTTTTTTTTTTAATTATTTATTTATTTTTATTTATTACATTTATTTATTGTGTGTGTGTGTGGCCAGCTCAGCCCACCAGGGGGCGGGGCTGGCTGGCATGTGGTGCTGGGGATGAACCGAGGTCCCTGTGCTTTGCCAAGCTTGTTTCAAGTAGGTGCTTTAGACCACTGAGCCATCTCTCCAGCCCCTGTGCGCTGGTTTTGTTCCTAAGTCTCTGTTGCCTAAGCTGCTTCACACTCCAGGGAGAAGCAGCTCAGAGAATTCCTCTAGAGAAAAGCCTACTGGAAAGAATAAAGCGTGCTTTGAGTTGTTTGCATGCACAAGTGCGCATGAAAGACTTCTCAGGGCCTTTTCAAAGTGAAGTTTTCTCGCAGGTTTCCCCTTTGTGTAAGGGGACCAGAGAGGAAGCCTCTGCATGGTTGAGGGCTTTTGTCCCACAGGTTGGCTTTGCATGCTGAGGCAGTTTTCCGCTGCGGACCCTATTCCTCAGTCCCATGCTCCACTCAGCCCACCGCACGCCAGGCCTGTGGGATAACATCCGCCTCTGACCAAAGACCAGCAGAGCACCCCTCCCCAGGCCGACTCAGATCTGCCACCAGGTCAGTCTTGCAGAATACCTCGTGGAAGGTAGCAGTGTCAGTCACGATGGAGCAAGAGAGGAGGCCAGAGTGGGAAAGTGCATGGCCAGGGATCTCATGGCTCCTTGGAGAATTATCAGAATCCTTCAATTCCAAACTGGGTGTGGGGGGTGCACGCCTGTGATCCCAGCACCCGGGAGACAGGCAGACAGATGGCAGTGAGTTCGAGACCACCCTGGGGTACTCAGTGACTCAGAGACGTTTTCTGACTTGTTAATCCAGGGTTCTTCCCAATTGATCATGACGCTGGAAAATATTCTGGAAGCATAAAGGAAGGAATGCTGGGTCAGAAGGATGGTAACGTGGACCACTGGACCAAAAAAACAGGAGAGGAGCCCAGGGGGAAACAGCAGGCGCACCAGGCAGTGTGTGTACACCTTGGTGTCCCAAGGAAGCAGGGTTACCATTTCCACATTAGAGGAGAAAGCGAGGCCAGAGTAGCGACTTATCTAGGGTTATACATCTAGAGTGTGGAGATGGGAGGTGGGCTTGGGTGTGTCCAATTCCGGAGCTAGGAGGAATTTACATACCCTGTGAAGTGTGCTCAGTAATTCTATTTTACTTCTTAATTAATTAATTTTTGGTACTGAACTCAGGACCATGTGCTTGCCAGGTAGGTGCCTATGCTGCTGAGCTATCTCCCTGGTTAGTAATTTTTTTTTTTTTTTTTTAGGAACTGGGAATTGAACTCGGGCCCTCGCGCTTGCCAGGCTAGTGCTTATTCTACTGAGCCATCTCCCCCGCCCCCTGGCTAGTAATTCTAATACTTAAAAATATTCTGTGCCAGCCACTGTCCTAAGCACAACGTGCATGAGTTTATTTAATCCTCATAACTACCCTGTGAGCTGAGTGTCCTGATTTTACATTGGAAGAAGCAGGCACAGAACAGTAAAGACGTGGACCTACATAAAGAATGGGCCTGGGGTTGAAAACCAAGCAGTCTGGCCCTGGACGCCATAATTTCAGATTGTTGTGCCATTTCTCACGTGCTACTGCTAATAAATACTTTTTAAAAATTAAGTTTATTGGTATAATTTAGATAAACATAGCAATCATGTTCAACCTAGAGAATTTTTACCTATATGTAACATAGCGTCATTCCTTTTTCTTTTTTCCTTTTTGCCTTTTTGAGCCAGGGTCTCATCGCTTTGCGGTTCAGGCTGGCCTTGAACTTACTTGGTAGCTCACGCTGGTCTCAAACTCACAGTGATCCTCTTGCCTAAGCCTCCCGAGTGCTGGGAATATACAGGTGCCACTATGAATTTTTTTTGGTAACTGACTGATAATACTTTCTGCAGGCTCCCCCACCACCCTTCAGTCCTGGAGATTCAACTCAGAGCCTTTGAATGAGCTAACACCCTACTTTTTTATATTTTTGAGACAGTATCTTGCTAAATGTCTTGCAAGACTCAAATTTATAGTTTTTCAGCCTCGGCTTTGCAGAGTGCTGGGATTGCAGACATACATGTACCACCATGCCGGGCCTTTCTCATTTTTCAGGTGAGGAAACTGAACCCCAGAAAAGAAGCAACTAACTCAAGATCATAGTTTGTCTATTAGGAAGGTCTGTGAGTCCAGGCCAGATCCCCATAGTAGTTAATAATCGTGTAGCAAATCTTGACTGAACACTTAGGAGGTACCAAGTGCTTTAGTGCTGATTAGGTACTTTGTTTTTTTCTTGTGAGAAAAAAAAAAAAAGTACAGCCGGGGAGATGGCTCAGTAGGATAAGTGCTTGACTGGCAAACGCAAGGATCTGAGTTCAATGCTCTGTTCTGCAAAAAATAAATAAAAGTACAGAAATCGAACTTGGGACCTTACACTTGCCAGTCAGGCACTGAGCTAAATCCCCAGCTCTTGATTGTTTTTTGAGACTAGGCCTTCCTATGTAGTTCAGGGTGACTTTGAGTTCATCATATAAATTAGCTAACCTTGAAATCTGCGCTCCTCCTGCCTCAGCCTCCTGAGTGCTGGGATTACAAGCGTGTGCCACCATACTCAGAAGACTGGATTTTTGTCTGCTTCACTGTCTCCTGTGGTAGCTGCAATGCCTACCTAGCGCAGTTTTGCACACCAAGGTGGATGACAGATCTTTATTTTTTTATTTATTTATTTTTTTTTCGGAACCGGGGATTGAACTCAGATCCTTGCGCTTGCCAGGCAAGCACTTATTCTACTGAGCCATCTCCCCAGCCCCACAGATCTTTATTGTAATGATGACTGAGTTATTTGACTGTAAGCTTGGTGCTTTTTTAATCTCCCCCCTTGCCTCAGGTACCACAGGACATGTGTGTCTTACGTCAGCCCAACCCTGTCCCTGGGACGTCTTACACAGGTTAAGGGGCTATCTTGGAAGTGAAGGCAGGGGCTTCTGGCCTGTGAGCACATGCACAGGAGGAGACAGGAGTCTGGAGCCCACACCGTGTGCCAGGCACTCGACACACTTGCAGTTGACCCTCACATCGAAGCAGATTGTGCCTCATGATACCTAACTGAAAGGTGATGAGGGGCCTGGGAAATGGCTCAGTAGGTTAAGTGCTTGGCTGGCAAGTGGGAGGGCCTCAGTTCAATCCCCGGTTCTGAAAAAAAAAAAAAAAAAAAGTGATGAGAGTTCCAGGAGGGAGGGACATTCACCCAAGGTTACAGAAGTGAACATTACAGCTGGATTTGAACTCCGGGCTGGCTGTCTCCATCCCCTGTTCTTTTGCCGTGGCTTCCTCCCGGAGGCGAGGGGAGGGAAGCTGAGCCCCAGGAACTGGCGCTGAGGCCAGACAGGCTGAGTGACAGCCCAAGACCACGACTTTGACAGCTATGCTGAGGCTGGCCTGAAAGCAAGTGTTGCTAAGCTCGGTTGCCTGAGAAGACAAGATGTAATCACAGAGACAAACCTTGGCCAGGAGCTGCAGTAGGGCGCCAGGGAAGTGCTGGGCCCCAAACACAGCGTCCTTGGGCCCTGCCCCCCGACCAAGAGCTCCCCACTTACTGCTCCGTGACCTTGCAGCTGTCTCAGTTCAGCGTCCTCACTTGTCACACAGGGTCACCACTCCTGTTGGGTTGTCATGGTACTGCGTGACACTGTGCGGGAGAGACAGAACTGGGTCAAGTCCAGGTCAGAGCACAAGTACTAATTAATTGTATGACCTAAGGCAAGTCACTTCTCTGAGCCTTAGCATCCCTATCTGTAACAGAGGTGACGCTGGTCTCACTGATCTCTGTGAAATGTACTGAATAAAGTTGGCCTCTTGGAGTACATTTTCCTGGGTTTGAAATGTGCTCCACCACCTTGGGCGCTTGGCCTGCCTGCCTCAGTTTCCTCTGCTGTAAAGTCGCAGTGAACGTCAGTGCCCCCGTTTTGTGGAGTTGTGATGGTGAAAGGTATAATCGGTAGAAATGTAGACCAGCATGTGACATCAGTAAGCCCTTGGCCACTGAGAACTCATGAGTCTTGGGTCTGGCCCTTAAAATTACCTATGCAGCATGCTGGGTGCCGTTTTAAGGGCTTTACACTTTAATCCTCAAAGCAGGCCTCTGAGCTGGGTGATACACTGACCCCATTTGTTGCTGAGGCACTCAGTTATTCAGGGGTCCAGGACAGTGCACAGTGGACCGGCCAACATTTGAGTCCTGTTATGCTATGCCTGTTACTCCCTTATTCCTAATAGGCGCTCCATAAATGGGAGCTGTTAGGATATCTGTGGGAATGGACTTTTTTTTTTTTAACCAGAAGAGGTGACACTTAATTAGTGCCCAGGTGGAGTAAGCCTTAGGGGAACCCGGAGGCTGAGTGCTCTTAGCCAGGTGAAGGGATGATGCTGGGACCGCTTGCTCAGCTGGTGCTGGCATCCAGCAGGGGGCACCCGCTGCCTCTGCCTTTCCCAGACTTGAGTCAAGTGGCGGAGTGGGAGAGCAGTCAGGTTCCCACCTCGGGGGCCACGTGGAGGGGTGGCAAAGCATGGTGGTGGCAGCTTGTGCGAAAGCTTCTCTCCCCCAGCCCCATTCCCCGGATTGGCCCTCAGGGCTGCCTCCCCTAGACCTCCCGAAAGAGCCTGCTGCCCAGTCTTATCTAGCCCCTTTCTGTCATCAGAATCTCTTGGGTACCGGCCAGGAGTCTGAAACTTCAAAAACTTGAAGGCAGTTCTGTATGGGAGTGAAAAATCAATAAAGGAGCTAAAGATAGTAATATAGATAGTGCTCAGAGAGAAAGAGACAGGGCTGGGGAGATGGTTCAGTGGAATAAGTGATTCCCCGACAGGTGCAAGGGCTTGAGTTCAATTCCCAGTTCCGCAAAAAAAAAAAAAAAAAAAAAAAAAAAAAAAAAAAAAAAAAAGGAAGAAACGAAAAAGATTGAAACAGTGCTACCAGAGGTGGGAAAGCAAGTTGGCAAGGTGGATGTGGAGGACCACCCTCACTCATGTCCTCCTGGAATGAGCTCAGTTTCAGCCTAGTTCCCACTTCTTTGATGCTGCCTTGGCTTTACACCAAACAACAGCTCCTCTTGTTGCTGAGACAAAATACCTGACCCCCAGAATGTAAAACTTTTTAGCTCAGTCGATGGAGGTTTCAGTCCTTACTCAGCTGGCTCCAAGGCGGGGTGGCACATGGGAAAGGGCAGCCATTCATGGCAGCAGCAAACAGAAAAAGCAGCAAGCACAGAAAGGGAGGAGCAACCC